TGCCAAAAGATTGTAAGGTCATAGCCGATGTGGCATTCCTTGTTGATTCATCGGGAAGCGTTGGAAGAAGAAACTGGGTGCGCCTCCTTGCATTCGTCTCAACCATAATCAGYAAACTTAACGTTGGACCAACCGCTACTCACATTGCCTTGGTGAGATACAGTACCCAGGCTGAAGTGGACTTCACTTTCCGATCAATATCAGGATCCCGTGTTACTCCTGCTACCTACAACCAAATCGTCAAAAATTTGAGATGGCAGAGAGGGTTTACATTCATCGATAGAGCATTGATTACGGCGGACCAACAAGTGTTTACTGCAGCAGCTGGAATGAGGCGTAATGTTCCTAAGGTAATGCTCCTCTGCGCTCTTACAGTAGATTTTGTATGAATAGGAAACGGCACGGTACCGTTGCGGTACGGGGTTGATGTCATCTTTTGAACCAATATCGGCGAACGGAGATCACAGGTCACAGCACGGCATGTCCTTACTGGGAGATACCACAGCCACACAAGTAGTCATAGTTTTCCTATTGAAAAAAAGCAACCCTTGTTTGATCTAAGCTGTTCTTCGTCGGTGGTCAGRCATGAGTCATAAGGCGGCTGCCAGCAGCGTCCTTCTATGCCTTCGACTCGACCACGTTGAGCTGCGTCCTTCGCAACTCAGATATCAGCTACAATTATGGATGAGTGGCCATTCCAATAATAAAAGTATTGGGAGTAACGGGAACGGGAACCAATAAGATAATTCTTGATAATTCTTATTTTTCAGATGGCCTTTGTGATAACCGATGGAACGCAAACACGCGACCGGGATGCCATCACTCCTCTCGCCACTGCCTCTGCGAGACTTAAAGCTAAAGGTATCAGAGTCTACGCAATGGGAATTGGAACAAGAGTTTCAAACAAAGAGCTAAATGACGTAGCAACAAGCCCCAAGTACGTCTACAGGGCATCCGATTTCAAACAACTTGTACGAGGAGTAGATACCGTCGTAAGGAGTATATGTGAAGGTATGTCGGTTTATATTATTAACCCCTGATATATTCTCCCCATGCACCCAACCCCCCTCACCCCCAAATATAAGCCTCCTCCATCGATGTAGTATATTGCGACTTCTTAACACTTTGTCAGCCATGCGTTTAGAAATTTTACCACATATTATCGCAAAGAAGTGAAAAAAACTCCATTTAACACTGTTTAATAGGACGGAACCAATTACAGGTTCCCCGACTGAAGRCCCACCCAAAAATCGATCAAGACCAGGGCATATCTAACTGACAGATGAAATGCGGAGGACAGAAAATCAGATTACCTGGAAAACAACCCTTGAATCATGTGAGAGACCCCCCAAAAAACGTTTCTTTCATATCACGCCAAGTCTAGTTAATAAAAAACGAAACCCCGGACTACGAGGCCCTAGTTTATTTGAAACTTCCCAACATTAACTTGGAATAACAAATTTCCTTCTAATAGCCTTCTAAAACTCATGAATAATTAATGCACATTTAGACCTATCAGCTCCTTCAAATCCATCTCGTGCATATACCCGATAAAGAAACTCGACAATCTAAAAAGCCCGGGGGCGGTTTTAAATTCGAACCCAGGGGAAACCGGGGCTGATTGTGCTGATGAATAAGTGCTCACTGAGCCGGAACACATAGAGAACTCTTGCTCACCAAACTGGAAGGTTTAGAGAACTCTTGCCTATTCAACTGGAACGTATAGGACACTGAGTTTTAAAAGCAATTTAGAAAGTTCGTGGTCTTTTTGTATCGGAGATAATGATATAAAATATATCTAACCATACAAAACGACCACTCATATTCTAAACATTACTTAAACATTGAGTGTTTACTTTTGTTATTTTCTTGATCATATCAAATTTATTCTTATTTCCACGTCTATGATAATCATGCTTCTCTCTTCTTTTTTTTTTTTTTTTTTTTTTTTTTTTTTTTTTTTTTTTTTTTTTTTTTTAAGTTTTTTTCAGGAAAACGTTAACTTGCCAAAGCAGCGAACTGCTCGCCGCTTGCTATTTTAGCCCAGAAAGTATTATAATATGGCCCAAAATATAACTGAACAATATTTCATAATAGAAGACTAATATTCACTTAGTATTTGCTTTAAATTGAATCCCTATATTGTGATTAGAAACAGTGACGCAGTAAAAGGTACCATCATCATGTATGAAGTCATAAACATTTTTTAACGGACTTCCTCAAGCCGAAGGCAGCACTTTGCATCCGGTTGACGTCACAACTTTTCTGTGACGTATGAATATACGTATTATATATATTCGAATAACGAGGATTCTGTTTAGAGCAATTCGCTGCTATTCGTGCCGAAGAACGTAACGATGGCTTGGTCAGGAAACAAAAAATGAAGACAAGAATAATATGTGACTTACTATCCTTTTTGCTTACACTATCAGGCATCTTAAATCAAGTAACCAACCATCACTCAAACCAATGTATGTTCGTGAAAGAGACTATGAATGATGGCGTTCTTAAATGCACTTATAAACAAACTAACGCTGCAATTAAAAATAAAATTTCTCAAGTTCAATCATGGTGTGTGAGTATTCAAATAGCCTGTCTGTTCATACCAATCTATGGTAATAGAAACTGCATGAATAATTCATGTCTTGGAAAGGGTTTTAAGGGGTCCAAAGCCTATCAAAATCGTACTTTTTAACCAAGGACGGTGAAAAATCCCTTAGTTTAAAGAATACAAAAATGAGTGATCTCGTTCTCGTACTCCTCGGTTTCGTTCCTTCCCGTGCCAAAAACTCTGGTAACAGCCGTTTTTTCGTCGATGTTGATTGGTCCAAACAGAGGCGCATGCGCGAAGATCAAAAATGATTTATGCTGGAGCTGCCTTGTGATTGGAGGATTCTATTTGATGCTCAGAACATTTTAAGATTCATAACCCTTGATTTCTCGAAGGCTCTGCTGATCAAAATCAAATAGGACAGAATGAAATGCAGGATTTTGGCATTCGATGAAGAATCTTTGGTTCAAAAATGCAAACAATTTACTTCACAGAAGTGTTCTGTGAAACGCTTCAGCCTATTTCAGTTCTAAGAATGTGTCCGAGGTTTTAAAATCTATTTGTGTGTTCTCAGCTCAAACTCTTGTGTACGTGAGATTCCTTCCATTATTTTCAAAAAATGATTTCACTTTCGTTTTTATCTGGGCGGAATGTTGTATTCCTAGTTAGGACATGAGCGGGCGAGTATACAGACTCGGAGCCCTGAGCATCCATGATGCCGTACTTGCAGTTATTTACACCTAGATGTCCAAAACGCTGTATTGAATGTGTGTTGTGGTTTATTGTCTGCACCAAAACGCTAATGAAAGTTTGAAAACGTTAATGAACCCACGCAAACATATTCATGATTGTCAAATTCAATGCTAATTTTCTTAATGAAAGTTCCATCGCACTATTGAGACTCCGTTTGCCTTATCAATGCCTGTTCGCTCTATTGACACTGCTTCTTCACTTCAATGAATAATGAACAGCAAAAGGTGTACATCCGACAGAAGCACAGTAGAGAACCAGCAAGCAATTCTAGTTCTACTCATACGACACCGAGCCCGGCAGGAATCGAACCCGGGTCKTATTGCTGAGAGACGACGCATTTCGGGTTTTTTTTATTTTTTATATCTTTTTATCTTTTATACCTCAAACACTGAGCATCATGTGCTGTCAACAGGAAAAATTCTGCACGCGGGCCAGGAAATGACCTCTACTTGCTGCTCCAAAATTATGCTTGGCGCAATTTAATCACTTAATCTAGTTTTATCACCTTCATTCCTTGGCAAAGTTTCTTCATTTATAGAACGCAGTGTCATCACGTTTTCATTAAATTCTGCTTGGTGTCATTCCCATTGTCGTTAGTACAAGTGGTGTGTGGTGTATGTGGAAGATTACTCTAATCTGTCACGTCGGTCTGCTGTTAAGGTTTATTCAGATTTCTTGCTTGTACAATGCTTGTTTAGGCTTCTTCTGCTACTAGCTCTGCGCTAGGACTGCACTGAAGTGAAGTGAAACTGTGCTGCTTGCACTTAAGTAATACAGTCAACTCTCGCTATTACGGACACCCTCGGGACCGTAATTTAGTGTCCGCAATAGCGAGAGTCCGTAATAGCGGGGTGCGGGGAAAATAACACTCACTTTTTTCTTGAAATTATTTAATTTGATTATATAACAACTATCACTATTGTTAATCACATAAAACAAGCAATATAGAATCAAAAACTATGACAATTATTCTAATATTAAACAAACTTTAACTTTATAAGATCGTATGAAAACTATGAATAAAAAAGTAAAATTTAAAAAAACGTAAAATTAAAACTTGCATGGTACAGTACTGTAGTAGACTGTACTCTGACTCTTCTAAGATTTGAAAAAGCTATATATCGATTGTGTTTTGGCGTGATTGTTTTTTTGAGTGCATTTTCTGCTACTTTATTGCTTAAACTTGAAAACTCACTAGCAATCGTAGTCAGCCCACGCTGAACAAGAACGTTCAATACAGGATTGGGGACTGGCTAGGGGTCGTGTGTCGTGGGTCGTGGGTGTTATGGCGTGGGTCGTGGGTATTATGGCGTGGGTCGTGGGTATTATGGCGTGGGTCGAGCACATGCATATGAAATGTGTTTCTCCTTTCTATTTTTATTTAAAATTTCATTTAAAAAAACCTTAATAAGCATACATTCTGGATTAAGCGTACATTCTGGATTCATCAGTCACGATAGCCTTTTGCAGTATGAAACAGGAGATCACAGGAAGCCCATCCGATACCACAAATAGTTAGGATGGTAAGCCTGTGGCAAAATCCCAGATTGCCGATCAACGATCAGTCAGCCTCCAAAAACGTTTGGGATTGGATATGATGTATAAAACCTCGTTGCCAATAAAAATGATCTAAAGCTGCATAAAACGTGCGGCTATGAAGCACAGCAAAGTATCCCACAAGTTGGCCATACAGTTAGTTTTTTTTTTTTTTTTTCTTAAAGAGTCGAAGCAGTTTTCTCTCTTTGTGACGGCTGCAAAAGAGTCTAACGCATGCTCTATAACGTCTGTGATGTTCTTCTGGTTTCTATTGGTGTATTTTACCAATCAGAATGTGTCTAAAAAGCCAACCGTTTCTCGGTGCTGAACATTAAATTGCAGCTTATATCGGCAATCTGAATTGGTTAGCTATTTTCGAATAGAGGAAGCAGAGGGAGCAGTCATTAATTATTGAGGGGGGGAAGGGCCACTAAAATTTCTAAAACATCAAATCTAAGCCCAAAAAATCGTGGCCCTACTCCAAATTCAAAAGCCAGCTGCTCGATGTTGAGCATGATGCCTTGAAAAAGGGAACTTCCACGGGTGGCAAGGGTCCATCTCAAGCTGAGAGACAAAAACTCATGCACAACAGGGAAATTGCTGCTGCCAAAAGGTTAGGGCATGAGCTATTTCCCGACAGTGGAGATGATAATGGGCGGACAGCAGATAAAAATTCTTCCCACCAACCGCCTGCAGGGAAGCATGGACACAAGCGTCAGCAGCCCGCCACAAAGAAAAACAAAACCAAGGTCCAAGAGCAGCAGATTCCCCAACCTGAAAGACCGAAGCCAAACTTCGGAGCTTTCGTCATCGGGTCGTTAAGTTTTCTCCATCCATCAGTTAAAATTTGCTACGGTTGTGGTGAAGACCTTAAGCCTGATGGACAAGTCCCTGATAAGCCAAACGATTTAGTTATTGTCAGCGGAGACAAACGGTCTTACTACGACACAGAGACAAAGAAGGTACAAAAAAGTGCCCAAGTATCAAATGTTTATTTCCATTTGAATCCAAATTGTGTAGCTGTATGTCATAGATATTTTATTCCGGGGCTTATTAAAATCTAACTAATGAACACAAAAGGTTGCTAAGGCAAATAACTGGCGTAGATATATAATTCCAAAAACTGTAAAAAAAATAATAAATTCTTTTGAACTGCAAAAGGCTATCGTGACTGAGGAATCCAGAATGTATGCTTATTCTGTGTATGCGTTTTTCATTAGCTATTAGTGTTAAGGTTTTTTTAAAATGAAATTTTAAACAAAAATAGAAAGGAGAAACACATTTAGTATGCATTTGCTCCACCCACGCCATAATACGCACGACCCACGCCATAATACGCACGACCCACGCCATAACACCCACGACCCACGACACACGACCCCTAGCCRCTCCCACAGAATTGTACTTGTAACCTCTTGTAAATATTATTTTACTTTCATTTTGCTTGCAGCTCGATCGTGCTGGATATCAGTTAAATTGCGCGTGCATTTTGTTTTCACACTTGTAAACGGTTTATTGTGTTAGAAATAACAAATTTATTCCCATTATCTAGACAAAAACAGTTGCGGGACAGGAGAGATAAAATTCGTATCTCCGCGCGCCCATGTAATATCCTCTATTTCATAACTTTTATGGCAAAGTTTCTTCATTTATAGAAGGTGGTCATCTTTATGAAAATTTGATTCTGCACGAGAAAGGAAATGAACTCTGATAGCGCTTCAAAATTATGCTTGGTGCAATTTGATTACTTGACCTTTATGATTATGGCAAAGTTTCTTCATTTATAGAAGGTTGCAAGAGAATATTAAGTAAGAGAGCACATCTCCCATACATGGCCTGTAACCATGAAAGTTTTTTGAAAATCTATTTTTAGGTCCGCGCACAAGGCTGAGCTATTCTTAGCATGCGATTCCTGATTAATCAGAGTTGTAGTGACTTCAATGTGAGCGRAAAATGTTTTAGTTACCGACGAGACAAATGCCTTCAGTAAAAAGTTGAAATTAAACTATCATGTATTTTTCATAGACGAATTAAACATCAAACTTAACAATTGGTGTAAGAGAACATCGAAAAAGATCAAATCAGGATGGTTTTCACATGTTTTCAGTATACGAACAAGCTAAAAACAGCAAAAAGGCCAAGGAAGAAAACAGCGATAAAAAATGCGATGAAAATAGCGAAGAACCTACAGCGAAGACAGCGAAAAAAGCATTTATCACAACGTTTTCGATAGTAAATGAAATTTAAGTCACAGGGATATGCTCTCTTACTTCATATTCTCTTGAAGGTTGTCATCACGTCTTCAAATTCTACTTGACATTCCCATTGTCAGTACAAATGCTGTGACTAATCTTGAGGATTTGAAACTAGATGACCCCGAGATTTCATGTACTCATGTATTTGTGGTTTAGTATAAAAGAGTTGCAGAGCACAGTCTAGTCTACATACCATATCCTGAATCATCCAGCTGCAAATCAAGTAAGTATACATTAATATGCATGGGAAGCTTACATGATTTCATCATAAACCAATAGCTTATTCATTTATATATATATTTAAAACACTCATTA